TAGGTTTATAACGTAGTAAAAAATAGAACTAACTTGGTATAAATTAGAGCTAACGTGGTATAAATTAGGCTTATAACGTGGTATAAATTAGGTTTATAACGTGCTATAAAATAGAACTAACTTGGTCTAAATTAGAAATAACTTGGTATAAAATAGATATAACGTGGTATAAATTAGGTTTATAACTTGGCATAAAATAGAACTAACATAAATTAGATATAACGTGGTATAAATTAGATATAACGTGTAATAAAATAGAACTAACAAGCCATCACAAGCTACAGATTAGAACTAACACTGTGCAGAATAGAACTAACACTCTACAGATTAGAACTAACACTGTGCAGATTAGAACTAACACTCTACAGAATAGAACTAACACTGTGCAGATTAGAACTAACACTCTACAAAATAGAACTAACACTGTGCAGATTAGAACTAACACTCTACAGAATAGATCTAACATGTTATAATATATAACTAAAAGGGTGCAGATTGGAACTAACACAACATTTGTAACAAACTGTTTGGTGGATAAGCAAATTTTAACAAGAAAAAACACGCAATGATGTCAGGTCTTCATTTGTTGCTGCCCTCGCTGGACCGGTTTGGGTCTAATAAACCCTTTTCGCTGTCACTCGCCTTCCTTTTCGAAGGTCCTGGCTTACTGCGCTTTGAGGAAGGAGAACTGGATCCCGCTGAGCCACTGTAGGAGACGACGGGGTTTAAAGGGAGAGGAACATTGCCGGTAGGAAGAGCCCTTGGAGAATTGGCACCCCCGACCCCTTGGTTACGGAGAAACAGCTGCCATTGGTCTCTCTCGACCGTCATGTGGACGCCACCCCAACTAACCTCAATTAACTCGGGGTCGGCCCTAAAGGGCTGCGCACGCTGGGGCCCTAAGTTGAGTCGTGTGGATCCCTGAGCCCTCTCCAAATCCCCCCCGCTTTGGACCTGCGTGATGGCGTATCCTTCCCTGGCGTTACCGTCCACCGGCGAGATGTAACGGAACCCAAGCCTCTTAGGGATTTCAGATAAATCCCTAACCTTGAGTAGAACTCTACAGTCTTTGAAGTTAGAATGTGTTATGACGTCCCTGGAGCACATGACACATTCACCGATACCAATGAGCAGAGATTGAAGAAATTTAAAATTCCAGAGGTGGTATGAGAGATTGAATAGGCGAATTCATACTAGAAAGGGTTGAGGCAACGTTGTTAGCCTCAGATCCTCTTTCCAAAGGCGGAATCTGCCCTTAAATGTGCCCATATCTATCAAACCGAGTTCAATAGCTTAGGCAAGAACTTCATCGGATGGAAACTGCACCATGAAGCTGTTCCCTGCCGCCTCCTTGATTTGATGGGGTCATGTCCTAAGATTGAAGCGGTAGGCCAGCATCTCTCGGAGCTCCTGCACCGATGGACGGCCTCTATCAAGATTGAAGATGGCGAAAGCAGAAAGATGTCGTATGGTGCTGGAGGTGTTGGCCGGGACGGTAAGCATCCTCGGAGGGGCACTTGCGGTAATTCCATGATGACAATCTCGAGTGCTGTGTCCTGTCCCATGGCAGTGTACACAAGAAGGATCCCCAGCCATTTGTGAGGGTATACGATGAAAATAGATGACGCTGGGTTGTGGTTTTTAGCAGGGGGAGGGGTTTGCAGAGGCGCCTACGCTGGGGTCAGTAGAAGAAAGGTGGTGACCGTACCTATCGATGAAAGTTCGTATTAGGTATTTAAGTTAATTAATTTATTTAACTGACTTGGGAACACGCGAATATATGATGTGACATGTTTGTGTGATGGAACCGTCGCTTCGAAAGAAGTGAGCAGCTGGAGGTCTGAAGATAACTTAAATAATTAAAAAATTAGAACTGGCTCTGAGATAGAACTAACGAGCATGGTACAGAATAGAACTAACGTTGAATGAGTTAGAACTAACGAGCATCACTAGAACGAACATGGTACAGATAGAACAATACATCTGATAACAATCATTTTCAATTACTTAAATATACATACATTATTGTATTTGTATGAACATATCATTCATCACTGTACACTGTTTCTTCTTTATGTCTTTGTTCAAAACCAGCCAGTAATAATTGTGCGGCAAGTCTTGCTCGCATAGCTTCAGGGATATCGTTCGGAGGATTAACCAGCAATGTTGATCGTCCTTCAATTATGGATTTTACAAAGAGGTAGACGAACACACCACAGTCAAAGCTGCAACATAGAGTGAGTTCATTAGACATTTTCGGTCCGTTCGAATACTATAACACAAATTTGAACAATATAGACATCGGAACTAACCGTCCTCTTTGTTGCTCGCATTTGATGGCTTGATATCTAAATATTTGGCGCACATTGTCTTCAATAAAATCAGCATGATGGGCATCAAAGAATTTTATGATTTTATTAACAGGCTCCATCCAAGCTTCGTGCCCAGCGGAGCTGTAATGCTTGACGACTTTATCTTTAAGGTCAACTTCTACAAGATGCCAATGGTCGTCCCTGACCAAAGGGATCAAGAGATGCTCTATGCGGTATGCGGTATATTTGTCAATGAAGTTCAGATAATGCTCGTAATTGTTCACCTCCAAGCCATAGAGTGAGTGCTGCAAACACATCATGTTTGAGTTGAAATTAAAACAAACATGAGCTGCGAAGGCTAACTAACACCGTATTAATTAGAACTAACACGCTACAGAATAGAACTAACACTGTGCAGAATAGAACTAACACGCTACATAATAGAACTAACGTTCTACAGAATAGAACTAACACTGTACAGACTAGAACTAACACTGTGCAGATTAGAACTAACACTGTGCAGAACAGAACTAACACTCTACAGAATAGAACTAACACTGTGCAGATTAGAACTAACACTCTACAGAATAGAACTAACACTCTAAAGAACGGAACTAACATGACTTATGGTAGGTCTAATTTGATGCTAACTAGAACTAACGTGACTCATGGTATAACTAGCATGGATTACACAAGATCTAACATGAATTTCAATCAAAACTAACGTGGTGAAATTAGGAATAGCATGTTCTTACAAGAAAGAACACCGATACCACTCCATATCCTTTGCCGTATGCCTCCTGGCTAATCGTGTCCAAAACTGCTTCTTCCACCTGTAATTGTTATGAAACATTAAAATTCAATTTAAACAATATAATTTGAATTATTAAGGAAGTATATGTTAACCTTGTCGTCAAGGCGGCCACCACGAAGCACATATAACAACTCTTCCCTGTTAATAGTGCTGTTGGTTGTTACTATAACATTATATCTCCTGGTATAAATTAGAACTAACATGAATTAGAACTAATATGTGGAGAATTAGCATATAAATAGTCAACTGAAACTTACTTGTGAATCTTCTGAGAACAAAATTTGGTTAGGCTATCAATTTCAGCTTTGTCGAGTCTTTCTGCTACGGGAGATGGTATCTTTAAATTATGTACAAAAGCACCTGTGCTATCTATTATGCGTAAGTTAAACAATGTAGGGTCTGGAAGCTCATTATTCAGCTCTCCCAATAGAGCTTCCTCTTCATCTGTCATTGGCTTGAAACTCAACGCATCAAAAGTGGGGATTTGAATACCGGGATAAAAATGAGTAACTTTTTCAGCTAGTTTTACTTTTGGTTCAGGACTTTCAAGTATATCTATACTAATTTTTTCCTTTTTCTTTCTTTTGCCTTCAGTATATGGTGTCCTCTTGAATTTAGATCTCTTGCTTACCCTTTTTGCCTTTGGTCTACGCTTTGCTTTCACATTGCTCGTTAGAACATCTACAAGTTTGTCCACATTATGTTCAATATTCACAAGATCCTCTTCCTCCTGTGCTTCCAACTTATCTACATTCTCCTTGCCTTTATCTACAATATCTTCCTCCTTATCTACACCATCAACAGTATCCTCATCAAAACCTTTGTTATCTACAATAAAATTTTCATTTTCCATATGCTCCTCTTCCTTATCTACCATATGCTCCTCTTCCATATCTACAATATGTTCCATATGCTCCTCTTCCATATCTACAATATGTTCCATATGCTCCTCTTCCATATCTACAATATGTTCCATATGCTCCTCTTCCATATCTACAATATGTTCCATATGCTCCTCTTCCATATCTACAATATGTTCCATATGCTCCTCTTCCATATCTACAATATGTTGCATATGCTCCTCTTCCTTATTTACACTATCATCAACCTTAGTATCTACAGTCTGGTCAACCTTACTATATACCCCCTCCCCTGGAGAAGTAACTGGCTCCTCTTCTATTGCCTCATCGTCAGCAAGATGCTTTACATCCTCTTCAACAATCTTATGTACATGTTCTTGACTGGTGGGCTCTTCCTTATATACACTGCTTGTTTTGGACTTCTGTTCCAAGTGGGGATTTGAATACCGGGGTAAAAATGAGTAACTTTTTCAGCTAGTTTTACTTTTGGTTCAGGACTTTCAAGTATATCTATACTAATTTTTTCCTTTTTCTTTCTTTTGCCTTCAGTATATGGTGTCCTCTTCCATTTAGATCTCCTGCTTACCCTTCTTGGCTTTGGTGGGCGCTTTGCTTCCACATTGCTCGTTAGAACATCTACAAGTTTGTCCACATCATGTTTAATATTCACAAGATCCTCTTCCTCCTGTGCTTCCAACTTATCTACATTCTCCTTCTCTTTATCTACAATATCTTCCTCCTTATCTACACCATCAACAGTATCCTCATCAAAACCTTTGTTATCTACAATAAAATTTTCATTTTCCATATGCTCCTCTTCCTTATCTACCATATGCTCCTCTTCCTTATCTACAATATGTTCCATATGCTCCTCTTCCATATTATCCTCAACCTTAGTATCTACAGTCTGGTCAACCTTACTATATACCCCCTCCCCTGGAGAAGTAACAGGCTCCTCTTCACTTGCCTCATCATCAGCAGGATGCATCACATCCTCTTCAACAATCTTATGTACATGTTCTTGCATGGTGGGCTCTTCCTTATATACACTGCTTGATTTGGACTTTTGTTCCTCTTGAGTTTCCCGACGCTTCTTCCTAATTTCATTTGCAATTTTCTTTTTGATATTTGACTTAAGCAGCACCGGGTCTATAACCTCATCATGTCTTCCACATTTTTCAATTATCCTGTTAAGCCTGTTGATCTCAATCATGAATTCTTTACAATATTTGCTCTTGGTCTGCTTTGTAGCATCAAGAAGTCGCTTGAGAAATTTAGCAGAATTTCTCCAAAATGTGAGTTGCTGCTCAATGGGAAGAACATTGATCTCCTCTTCATCGTCAAAAGCAACGTCAATATGCTTTGCCATGATCTGTTATTGATACAAGATTATAATTTTAAGTAGGATTAAACATAATTAGGATATTCTTTGCAGTTAGTGTGAAATGAGTACGACTTAACATAACAAGATACTTACGTAACCTATTGAGAAGTTCTTAGTAGTTTCTTCCTGCAAAGCCTTCCTCTTTGCCTGACGCTTTTGCTGAAGAACTTCATCCCTCTGTTCAGCGGGAAGTGAATGAACATGACCAGGAGAAGCGACCTCCGCAATAGGCCTATGGACAAATGTTATTGACGCTGACTTAGCCTTTGAAATAATTGTCGGCATCCTCATAGATGCGATTCTCTCCTCCCCTGATGCCCAATTTGTCATTAGAGGTCTGGAGGTGTCTAAGAGGGCATATTTCTTTATGCCTGTCATCTCGTAGTACCAAAGCAGTACCAAATAATATATTTACCATTAACATTTAATACTAGACTAGACCAAAGAGAATAAAATATGGCTGCATCTAGAACTAACATGGTGTAAATTAGTACGTGGTACGACATGAATTATGATAGAACTAACATGACCTATGATAGAACTTAAATGGGTGCAGATAGAACTAACACTCTACAGAATAGAACTAACACTCTACAGAATAGAACTAACACTCTACAGAATAGAACTAACACTGTGCAGATTAGAACTAACACTCTACAGAATAGAACTAACACTGTGCAGATTAGAACTAACACTCTACAGAATAGAACTAACACTGTGCAGATTAGAACTAACACTCTACAGAATAGAACTAACACTGTGCAGATTAGAACTAACACTCTACAGAACGGAACTAACACTGTGCAGATTAGAACTAACACTCTACAGAATAGAACTAACACTGTGCAGATTAGAACTAACACGCTACAGAATAGAACTAACACTGTGCAGATTAGAACTAACACGCTACAGAATAGAACTAACACTGTAGGGGATTAGAACTAACACTCTACAGAATAGAACTAACACTGTGCAGATTAGAACTAACACGCTACAGAATAGAACTAACACTGAATAAGTTAGAACTAACAATGCATAGGTACGAATTAGAATGAAACAAGATCAGTAAAATATGGAACTTACACACAATAGTGTCATGCAACCTGGGACATATGCGACCTTTTGCTTCTTCTTTCCCTCCAAAGCAACTCCAATGCCCCTGATAATTTCATTATAAAAGAACGGGGCCCATGCAACAGAATTGACCCTCTGAATGCTATCCAGGTATCTGAGTAAGGGTCTAGGGATACCTTCCCCTGCTATGGGACTCCATATCATAGAGCATTGGTACAAAATTTGTAGCAGAGCAAAATCCTCGATATCCCGCTTTTTGGTAGATTCAACAAGCCGTTCAAGTAGCCCTTCAAGATGTTTACGTTGGCTGGTTTCTGATTTTTTTAACTTCTTACCCTCTTCAGAAATGAAAAGCTTAGCGAAGTATTCCAGCCATATTCTGCTTCTTGAGTCCCTATTGTTCCTTATGTCCTCCCCATAAATTGGGAAATAAGTATGGTTGTGGACCCATTGCAAATCAAAACTAACATTTTTCATACCCCCACTTTTTGAATCAGGTATACAAAAGGTGTTATTATCTCTATCGAAAAAGCTCAGCAGCAGCTCAAGGGTGGGCCGATCAGCCGCAGGAGCCCCAAACAAAATGTAGTGCTGAAATATAGAACCGCAGTATGCATCCCTATGCCACTGACGGATCTTCGGGGCAAGGCGCTTCATAAATGCCCAATAAGCCCCGATATTGGCCGTTAACCTTAGTGTTTCTGCTGAGCCTGTTAGAGCAATTTTTTTCCTGCAAAAAATTTTCGAATTTGTACGTTCAATAAGACATATGAAACAATATTAGACCTAGCACTAACGGGAACAAAATAGAGCTAACACGTAATATTATAGAACTAACATTGGACTCATATTAGAACTAACATTGGACTTAAACTAGATCTAACGTTGGTATAAATTTAGAACTAACATTGGACAAAGCCTAGAACTAACAATATTGGGTTAATCTGCATTGTCTCTTCGCAGTATAACATAAGCCTAGAACTAACAATATTGGGTTAATCTGCATTGTCTGTTCGCAGTATAACATAACACTTACTGTTTTTTTGAGGGGGGTTCGTTGGTACGACCAGCCATTGTCGTCCTCCTTTTCTGGTCTCGCCATTGTAATGCCTCCTTTTGCATTTCGATTAGGGTTTTCGTAGCTTCCGTAGCTTCCTCCGTGCTGCCACCCGCAGATGAAGCGCCTTTTCCTTCCAACTCGGCTCGGTGCCCGACCTCGTAGTCGTTACTGGATTTTTCCGTAGACGACGACATTTTTCCGGCGAAAACCCTAGAAACGTTGAAATTCGTACAGAAATTAGGAAGATGAAGAGTTCTTGATGACGGTGCTAGGTGGAAGAGAGAGAAAGAGAGGGAGAGTACTTGTAAAGGTGAGGGGCACATTAACCCAGCTCAGTCCCATCAGAGGGCAAGATAGTAACTTCATCAGAGGGCAAGATCGTAACTTCCTCTGGCTTTTTCTGAAAAAAAGTCAATTCGGGGCCTCGTCGCAAATACTATGCGTATTTGGGGCTATTCCACATGGGGCAAAGTACAGGGGGGCTAGTCACACGAAGTTCCCACTTTTGGGGCCTGGACACATTTTTCCCTAAAAAAATACACAATGCGTAACGTATAAGTATCCCACTTACAGAACACCGGACGAGTACCCGAATCCCTCTCACAATGATATTTCGTAGTCTCTAGTAATACCTAGAGAATAAATACAAGCAATTATTACTTCTACTATAGATCAGTCACCACTGTTAAATATATAATTAAGTGACATGTTCACCATAAAAGTCACTCAAACAATTAATGTCATTTTTTGTAGTTAAACATGCAGCAACTCTCACGAGTCCGCTCACCAATTGATATTTTTTTAACCTTTTATGACCAATTAATCCAAACACCTAGCTAGAACCGTAAAAGTTCGCTAACCCTAAACAAATTGAGACCACTTCATTTATTCATGCCTCATATATATGATGTTTAAGATACAGGGTAATACCTTGTTTAACTTCTTTACTTTTCTCGAAAACCGCAGGCTGTTCTCCCTTCAAAACGTGCGGCTCGATTTTTTTCCCCCTTTTCCTTTTGCTCCTCCTTCCTTCTATCTTTGATTTTCAGTTTTGTTATTATTTTATTTTAGTTTCATTTTAAAGAAAGAACGATGCTACAGATTGTTCCTCTCTTTTATTTGGTATCCACTTCCAATAAATCCCTTAACAAATATCTAATTGCAGCAAGCCCCATAACAATCGCTATAGTTATTATTTTCTTTCTTTGCATAAAAGTCCTTTCATAACTTAGTATTTATAATATAGACTTATTACCAATAGAAAATTAGGGATATTACAAAGCTATCCATAAAAATGCCATGACTAGAGTGAATCATTGGCTATACGCAACTTTGAACAGCAAAGATACAACTAGGGGTGGCAATTTATGACCCAACCCATCAACCCGATCCGACCCGACCCGTTTATTATGGGTATGGATCAAGTTACATAGGTCGGGTTATAAACGGGTCAACCTAAACTGACCCATTTATTAAATGGGTCAATAAGGGTCGACCCGAACTGACCCGTATAAACTGTGACTTACCCGTCGGGCGTCCAACAATTTGCTAAAAAAACCGACGAACTGACGAATTTCTCTCTCCTCTCGAGCGACCGCGAGCAACTCATCATCGAGCCCTAGATTTCTCTCTCTCCTCTCGAGCGGCGGCGAGCGGCGGCGAGCAACTCATCATCGAGCCCTAGATTTCTCTCTCCTCTCGAGCGGCGGCGAGCAACTCATCATCGAGCCCTAGATTTCTCTCTCCTCTCGAGCGGCGGCGAGCAACTCATCATCGAGCCCTAGATTTCTCTCTCCTCTCGAGCGGCGGCGAGCAACTCATCGTCCCTTCGTCTCTCATAAACGAAGCCCTAGATTTCTCTCTCTCCTCTCGAGCGGTGAGCGGCGACGAGCGACAGCGATCCTCGAACCACAGCTCCTCTCTCTCCTCTCGAGTGCTCGAGTTCTCCTCTCTCCATCGAGCAGCCATAGTTCCTCCTCCCTCTCTCCGATCGAGCCCAGTTCCTCTTGATCAACAGAAGAATCCGATTTCAATCGAGCTAATCACTGGATTTTGAGGTATGCTCTTAGCTAGGGCTTTTTGATCTTGTGTTCTGTCAATTTTGGGGTTTTTTTTTCATCCTGTCTTCCTTCAATTTTGGGATTTTCTATCTATTTAATCATGGCTATAGATTTTTCTGTTAGATAAGACAATTTGACATGATTAATATCTAATAGAATTAATCAGGATAATTCTTAACCTGTTGATTCCTAGCATATTTTTATCCTTTAGATGGTCAATAAACTTGAAATAGCTTGATTAACAGCTAGTTGAAAACATGATCTAGC